TCCCAAAAAGATGTTTCCACAGCAGCAACTTTGGTGGCCATTTGTCAGTCAGTTACTCACCCCTGTCAGCTGCGCCACGAAGTTGACGGTGGTCGTTGTTAACACCTCCACCAGGTTCGCTAATTTACTAAGTGCCAATGCTGACGTATGTAATGGTTTCGTTTATTAAAATGTACTTATTATTGAACGTGTGTATACATATTTTTGGGACACTCTGTATTATCCTCAACACTTGTTTTATTTCATATATCCCTAAATTTTAATCACCTTTCTCTACAAGATATGTGAAAAGTGTGAATGTTCCTAAATGAAATGCACACCGTGAGAAATTTGTCGTCTGCCTTCCGCTGTTTGATCGACATGACTTGAGTACATCCATGTGCGTTGTGACTTTTATGGGCTAACTGAATTCATTTATTAAAGTGCTTTGCAACAGCCAGAAAGCCAGTTCCAGAAAAGAATATGAAAGGGACAATATGTGAAAAATATACATAACACGTCCCAAATTCAATAAGAACCACACACAACGCCGCATACAAAATAACATCTAAGGAACACAGGCAAAGGGAAAGAATGTACAGAGTTATGAGAAATCTAAATCGAAAAATGCATTTTTTGAAGATCAGTGTATCCTTCAGATTGCATTAAAAGCAGAATAGTCCCTGGTTATCCCTCATTAACCCTTGAATTAACAGTGATATTCCTCGTTAATTAGTACATTCAATTTATTACAATTTCTTAACACGTGTGTACAACAATAACGGATCGGATTATCAGCTAGAGTTTGAGGTCGATTTTGAGAGATTGGACAACGCCTTCGATTTTTAATAAATATCTTTTTACATTGGTGACTTTCTATAAATCAGGGTGAAAATGAAAACATTATGTGATATCTGGGTCTCTTACGGCTGTGGAGATGTAGATATTATCTGTTTGGACGCCATGCCGACTTCTAAGCAGGTTTCCGCCCTGAAAATGGAGGCAGTATATTCCCTCGAAACGTTGGTATCTAGACTCCCTACAAATCCACGCGGCGTCACAAAGTAGCCCTTGAAAAATTAATCAGACTGTTTATTTGTTTAGTGTTCTGTCTGACGACAGGTCCATATGAACAGGATCCTTCCATCCTTTTCTCTTCTCGGACTGGGACCTGTTCATATACGTTCTTGGCAGATGATCCAGAAGTAGTTTGCCATTGCCTTCTTCTGTGTGTGAATGGAGTAATTGTTGGGATGCCACGGACGAAAACTCCGTGTTGCCTAGACCACCTCATCTTATTATTATTTAGTGTTCTGTCTGACGACAGGTCCATATGAACAGGATCCTTCCATCCTTTTCTCGGACTGGGACCTGTTCATACACGTTCTTGGCAGATGATCCAGAAGTGGTTTGCAATTGCCTTCTTCTGTGTGTGAATGGAGTAATTATTGGGATGCCACGGAGTCTTCCATCCTTTTCTCGGACTGGGATCTGTTCATATACGTTCTTGGCAGATGATCCATAAGTGGTTTGCCATTGCCTTCTTCTGTGTGTGTGAATGGAGTAATTGTTGGGATGCCACGGAGGAAAACTCCGTGTTGCCTAGACCACGGCCTTGCCCAACACAAGTTATAAATTCGGGCACCGCCGGGAATCGAACCCGAGACCCCAGCGTTCTAACCGCTAGACCACCGTGGCGATATAATCAGACTGTACCCGGATAAAAATGTCTCCACAAATAATGAATGCGCTGACATATCGGATGTGATTCAACTCAGTTCCCTGGTTTAAACTCTATTTTCGATCAGGAGAGAGATGTGTGTAATCCATGGGGGAAATGGGTTATGAGGCTGTTAAAACACGTTTCTTCTGCATCAGGGCGTCACTCAAAACTCTCTACATCACCCGCTTAATTACAAAGTGGTTGTTTTGAGGCGCTGTCCTCAGTTCGTTTGAGTGTCGCTGGTGAATAAACTGTCGTGGCCAGCGGCAAAGTGATTTCCTACGCTGTGGGCAGTGACCGCTAATCCCGTGCTGTGCGCGACACCACCTTAAAGCAAAGAGTACCTCAACCACGTGTGAAGGGAGCCTTATCCATTAAAGGAACAACACCCTGGATCACTCACTACAAATACAAGATCTGCCCTCTCGTGGAACTCCTTTGTTTTCTTACAGGCAGACATTTTAAGAACGTGAAACAAATGAAGCGAACAAAATTTTCAAAAACCAACTGTAACATAATCACGGAAATGCAACACGAAACGGATTTCTTCAAAACAATGTTTTTTTTGCGAAGCAGACGACAGACAGACAGACAGACAGACATATCGAAAGAGCCCCCAATCGATTCCTGACACATGTTGACTATATTGCAAAGAGGAAACAACAAAAATATATTTTAAAGTTCGAATGTCCACTGCATTCGTTAACTTTTCCCGATGCTCGATGTTCCTTTTATGAAAAAGACATCCTCGCACTTCGACTGTTACAAGACAAATGACGAACTTGCGCGAGCAGGTTACAACATCACGTGACCTTCGTGGGCTCATGAGTAAGTGTTTATTAATCCAGTTGAACTGAATCGAATTACAAACATCAATAAACATTTTTATACGGTTGTATGACTTTTCGACCACCCTGTACAAAATATGACTGTCGTCATGACGAAGGATGATTTTCAACAAGGCGCCGCACGTCTCGTTGAAGTCCTTTGTTCCATTGCATTCGAAGGATACAAGGTTCGGAGACTTACAATACTGTTCACGACAGAGCTTTCATAGTTTTATTCAGTACCTCCAGCCAGATTTTGAGACAGTGACCGTGAGCGACCCCTACACGTTCGTCGGCTTATTAACTTTTTTTAAGCATTGAGAATTTTAGCAATTATTTGCGAAATAAAGTCCTTAACGCAGTTTGACACAAATTTTTTTAAAAGACGCCCTGAAGTCCTACGTACGAAATATAAAGACACAATAGCATTTTATCTGAGCGTTTAATTCATATATCGATTGCAGATAGAAGCGGAGTACAATTAAATTATAGGAAATTTGAGGTTTCAAAGTTCCACGTCCCCCCCGTGATATTCGGACCCTGCGAGTTATAGCCACATTACCATTCATTTTCAGATTACGCGAATGTGACGTTGTTCTAACGTTATATATATATCGACGCTAACGAAGGTGGGAGGGGGAGGAATAGAGGGGAATGAGCGTGGGTTAATACGACCATATCCGGAAATATCCATTATACGAGACACACCCCCGGTGCTGTGCAGTCGAGAGCTGTAACGGCCATCCCTTTCCATTCAACGAGTTGGCAGCAAAAATGTCCACACAATAGACAAGCGGTTAATTACGTCATCAGTCTTGGCTGTTCGTCCGTGTGACCGCCATTATTTTACAAACCGCAGAAATGAACCAACTGGAAGGCCCGGGCTCCATTCATTCCTGGCCTGACGCCGCGTCGGTGCAATCCTAGGAATGCGACACGCATTGTCTCGTGTTAACATGAAACGAGCATTCTGAGGGGGGGAGGGGAGGTATTGCTATCTGTGCACCTCATACCCCCTCCCCACTCTGCCGTGGTAATCGTCTTTCATCGTGGTAACATGTTCACTGTGTAGAATTTCCGCATTGGTACACTTCACACGATGTACAGCGAAACCTATGTCAGTAAAAGATATTAAACGTCGATTAAAAAGTTAGTTCTTGTGTAAATGTTACTCTGTATATTGCAACCTTCATAAGTTTTTTAAATTCTGATTCATATTTTATGTTTTAACCCTTTGAAGGCGAAGATCGTCTGAATATTATTTATGAATTCAGTCCGTACCGCGAAGAAAACACTACACCTCACCATTACGAAAATCAGCTGGTTAACCCTTTGAAGCCGAAGCTCGTCTTCATAATATTGACGAATCCAGACCGTACCGCGAAGAAAACACTTCACTTAACCATTAGAAGTCAAATCAGGCGGTACCACATAAGATTTAACAAAAGAACATCCCGGTCAAAGCCTTAAACATTTAGAATTCTGCACATATGTGCACAATAATTAATTTAATCCTATTCAAATTTCATAAATAATTATGTTTTATAGTTTTATTTATTCGTTTCCTGTATCGAATAAAGTAAATACGTGACTGATATAGACCCAAATTAACCATACATGAATTTTAACCTTCAAACATTTCACGTAATTGTGTGTTCAACCTAAACGTAAAACGCCGTATGTGACTTTAAGCTTTCACTGAATTCGATAAAATTCTCTGGGGCCACAAAAGCCCTCCATTTGAACGTACGTTTCTGTACGTTGAATTTAAATATTATTTGTGTAATTGTAATATTGAAACGTCGTGACAGAATCACTTTATATTTTAAATCAGTTAAAAATATTGTACACTAAGTATCACACCGAAGCGTATAAGAACACACATGAACGCTGTCCACCGGAGGAAGACCCATTAGTGTAACTGTTAATATTTGTCTAGTGGAGCCAATGCACGAGGACAAATTCATCTAGGAACTCAATCCATTAATTAAAAAAGACAGAAGATATTTCGTGTTATATTGTGATATTTTAAATACTTTAAATTTAAACATCTTGAGTTAATTTCACTATCATAACATAATTTTTAAGTATGAGTATATGTACGTTGGATTCAGACCTTGTATGTGATTGATTAAAAGTATTTTTTTTTAAATTTTAATTAGCAAACTGTATAATTACCTGCGACATTCATGAAAACTATTCCCAGTGTATTTATTATCTGTAAAATAAAGTTTGTTAATGAGTTTTAGGTCGATACGTATTCCTCGTTGAGTGGCTGAGTTACTTATCATTTAACTACGTAAATTATTGATATTTGATAAACGAAATGCTTTTTTCCTTTGTGTGTGTGTGTCACGCGGATTGACATCCACACATGTCGCCCGACTACGCCACAGTGCGAGGCCGAACTGTGGCATTACAGACCACAAGCAAATCGAAGTGACGCCCTGTTCTCGTCTGTTTCAGATGACTCTCCACCTGACCATAACCGCGCTTCTGATGCTGGGAGTTGCACCCCCTCCTTGCTGGGGGCAACAGGTAGCCCCCTGCACCTTCAACTCCATGTGCTCGTGCAAGTTTGGAGGAGGAGACACCCGGGGAATCCACTTCACCACCCCCAAGTCTCTGGACAGCGTCAGAGACATCATCTGTGTCGGCGTTCCGTTCTCAAAACTGCCCGGTAATTCCTAGATTTGTTTGTTCTTGAGGTTTGACGAGAAATTGGCAAAAAGATACACATCCGTCCTGTCCAAATTCTGGTCGTAAAAAGGGCCGTCGCACTGTCCGATGCTGGATACAGCACTGCGGAATTTGAGGGGGCAAAACAAGACTTTTCATTGAGGTCATGGTCAGGAGGGAGGACTCTCTTCAGAACACAGAGAAAACTTATGATGTCATGTCCTTAGGATTCATGACCTAAATATCCAGACGCTCGGGCCGGATTCTTCCGGGAAATGAGGTCCGTCCTGTCCTCATGAACTGGGAACATGTTTTCTCTCTCATAAAGTAACGGGACCTTCTCGCAGAGAGTCTGAAGGAGCCGACAGAAATTACTGTCAGGTACAGGACATGACCTCATCTTGACTCAGCCTGCCTCTGCATTATGCTTTCCGCCTTCTAATTTTCCTCATCTCGTCTTCCTGTCCTCTGATTGACCAATCCTCTTGCCCTTCTAGACTACACGGTGTGACAACCCATAAGAATAGAATCTGAACTCTCGCCCCAAATGTCACATGAATTATGTTATTTAACTGTGGGTCTCTGGTCGCAAGAATTGGTACGGCCGAGTTCAAATAAAACAAAGGTTGAAAGGTCATGGGGACGGGTCGCGTTGCTTGTGGCGAACTACGATGATTCTCGGAAGAATCTACGCGACCAAGAACATATTTCGACACAATTTGATTTTCTCACCAGATTCGATGTTGACAATTTTTTTTTTCAATTAAATACGTGTTACAACGAAAGAGCCTTTGGGGTCACGATGATAAAACACCACCACAAAGCGTTGTCAAACAAGACGTTACTTAAAATGTGTCCTGTTTGAAAATAAACAAATAAATCCGGTACTTTTGTAAATGCATAGAAATTTATGATTACCACAAAATATAACTTGATTAAAAGGGATCATTCGGAAACATTCGAGAATATTTTGGTGTTTTGTGAAGGGACCCGGGAAAACATTGGCTATATTTACTCCTCCTTGAGAGCAATGTTTTCCTGAAGGTGGAAACCCCGGTCGTCCATGACTGTTCATTACAGCGGACTGTTAGCGTAAAACCAACTGCTAACAGCAGTCGTACAAATTCGTACGACCGGTGACAGCTTCGTGTTTCCCTCTGAAGGAAGTAGACTTGTCGTTCGTATGTCATCCCCTGTGAAGTAGTGTTCCCTCCGTACATGGACTGCGGAGTTTTGTCAACACACTGTTATGCTTGTTGCAGAGTTCCCGGGGGGACAGGTGGAGCACGTGGATGTGGTGAGCTCCGGTCTGGAAGAGCTCGAAAACGAGGCGTTGAGCGGCTCACAGATCCAGTCGTTGCGGCTAATGAGCAACAGGATCCAGCACGTGGGCGAGCGGACGTTTAGGTAAGACGTTGACGGGAACTTCGGTCTGACCGCCATGTTTACAGGGTTTATAACAACTTATAGGAGCTTGTTTGCGAATTACACTTCCCTCTGCATGCTTCTTCGGGGAGTTTATGAGCCGTTAGGTCCGATAAAAATTTTCCGACGTTTCGGAGGTAATTCCTACCTCTATCATTAGTACGCCTGGAATTTATTTGAGATAAAACCGTTCCTGGCGCGCTTTTTCCTTATCGCCTTGATGATAGAAGTAAACATCTGCCAGACAATAAAACGCAAGAACCCAGAAGACCGCCATCTTTGGCGTCATACTTGTCTGCAGAAAATTACATTTGTGAGTGAACTGCAGGCGGATAACTCGTTACTTATAAACTTTCAAACGGATTCAGTTTTTAATTCCTCACGTGTCAGGAATAGTACACGAAAAGTAGTCTGGTATAAGTTTACCAACGATGGGTCACACATCGCCCTGATGATGGAGGCAGCAACGACCTCCGAAACGTCGGTAAACTTCTACCAGACTACACGGCGCTGCAGCCCATGATTTTCTGCCTGTCAGATTCTGGTTTCGGCTTTGCGTGTGCGTATTTAACTAGAATTAAAGTCTGCACTCGCAGACCAGGAGATCTGTCAAGAGTTTCCTCAGGTGCGGTGCTGGAATTAATTAATGACAATGTTATCTGGCGCTGGGAAGTCCCGTGTTCTGTACCAAGTGAGAAGAAACCGTGTTAGCCCAGCACGCGTGTGGCGTTATAACTAATTCCAGTTTAAACTAACATATAATGAAGCGTGTTATTTTTTTAATTGAGTTCCAAGCTCGCCGGGGGCTTCAACAGAGTAGGATGAGGCTGCCTCCAGCGAGGGACGTTTTCTTGTTTCAAATTTTCTTAGTCATGTAATCGCTCTGCTTAAACATGAACACAGTGTAACAAAAACTCTTTGTTTGATACGTCGTGTATAAATATGCATCCAGTGTAAATATTTATCTTTCCATTTTGTGCTCCGAGTTCAAAATGATTCAAAGGCCGTTAGTAAAACACGGTTTATTTAATGTGATCTGTGTTCTAACTGATTGTTATTTTGTTTAAAAGCCGAATAGCCCGAAAGGCACAGTGTATGTGTTCTACGCTTTTGTCCTGTTAAATTGAAGTTCTGTTTAACTTGGTTTATTGCACAAAGTTGGCTACCCTGTAAGGGAAAGGGAGATCAAACCAGATCACATCACGAAGTCACTTCAGCCCTGAAGATTGAGACAATTGATTTCTCCGAAACGTTAGTATCTACCTGCCAGTCCATGTCACAAAATTCCAAAGCAACAAAAATTTTCCTCAGACCTCAGATTATCCTACTCTCTCTCTCTTAAAATTAGTGATTCCATTTGAAACTAAATTCTGTATGTTTAAGCGCTATTTACAGATTTTTAATACCAGACAATTAAAAACCTCTGTGTTTGAAGGTACTCGACGAATCTAGGGGGAATAATTCTCTCGGGAGTGATTGACAAGTATTGTTGTAAATATGTGTGAACTATTACAGGCAACACGAAGATCGAACCTGAATTAACAACGAGCCATTCCTTCGTGTGGAAAATTTTAATCAGCTTAATTCATTATAACTTGTCAGAGAAAGCGATTCGTCATTTACATACATCGTTGATCTACAGATGAAAATCAAACCACAGGCGAAAATGTCAACTCGCACGAGGAAAAACGAATGAAATTAACAGAGCTAAAACAGATCCGACGCCAGCCTGCGTATTCAGCACTCACGAGCGTCCCACAATCATGCGATAGCTTCGTCGAATTCTTAGCGCGGAGTCCCAGGATCGCTTCTAGGACACTTCATTTCGGATTTGTGGTGGACAAAGTTCATTTTTTTCCCCTTTCAGTATAATTCCATTGCTGTTAAATATTCACTCGTGTTATCTATCACCTGGGGGATGGACAAAGGGTCCGTAAGCGATGGTATTTCTACATAGACATACTCCGATGTCATCACGACACTACAGCTTAGTGAAGAATTCCCTTGAAGTCTGACGTGGAATTATTTTCCGGTTGAAAATGTTATCTGCGGTTCATTGTGATTTGAACTTCATCATGATTTCATTGGCTGTCTTTATGATTATGTCCCGCGTGGTCGCATACTTTTTCTTCCGCGTTGACGTCTGAACCAGCCTCCTTATTAACGCCATTGTTTCTATTTGTACTGTTTCTCATATTCGCCCAGTGATCGTTATAGTCCAGACCAGTTTATGTGGTCGTATCTTTCATCAGTAAGCGGTAACTGAAGACAAATCAAGTTTCCGTTCAATTCCGAGCTGTCTCTGACGCGCCATTAAATCTACAGCAGCTCGATCGGTAACTTATTGAAGTCTGCTGTTTAGATGCGACATCCTCGCTTGTGTTAAGGCCTCTGTTAAATGTTTCAGGAAAAAAAGATGTAGGTTCCTACCAAACACCACTTCGCCAATTCGTCTGAAGCCCACACAGCACAAACCGTTCCACCATTTCTGACTATGTGACCGACTGAGATCATTCTCCGAGCGATACTGCGTTGCGGTGTCTTGAAGGAGGTACATACGCCACTTATTTGGCTAACTCCATCTCATTCTTCGAATTTTTACTGTTACACGTTTGATTAAGACTTGAACGTTGTTCCAATACCTGGCAAATTACACCACTTGATCGATTACAGTTACGAAATGTAATAACATCTCGTTTGCACTACAGTAATAAGTAATTAATTACACAGAGCAGGTAATCAAGAAATTGTCAGCTTTAGTGGAACTCGAGATTTGAAAGCCGTTTCTACATTAGCCCGGCTCCTTATCTCATCCCAACCCAGGGGAACAGTCCACTTAATTTTTATCTAAGGTACATTTTAATATTATCCTCTCATCTGCGACTATAAGATTAATTTTACTGTGAACTTTTTATCTAAGGTACATTTTAATATTATCCTCTCATCTGCGACTATAAGATTAATTTTACTGTGAACTTTTTATCTAAGGTGCATTTTAATATTATCCTCTCATCTGCGACTATAAGATTAATTTTACTGTGAACTTTTTATCTAAGGTGCATTTTAATATTATCCTCTCATCTGCGACTATAAGATTAATTTTACTGTGAACTTTTTATCTAAGGTGCATTTTAATATTATCCTCTCATCTGCGACTATAAGATTAATTTTACTGTGAACTTTTTATCTAAGGTGCATTTTAATATTATCCTCTCATCTGCGACTATAAGATTAATTTTACTGTGAACTTTTTATCTAAGGTACATTTTAATATTATCCTCTCATCTGCGACTATAAGATTAATTTTACTGTGAACTTTTTATCTAAGGTGCATTTTAATATTATCCTCTCATCTGCGACTATAAGATTAATTTTACTGTGAACTTTTTATCTAAGGTACATTTTAATATTATCCTCTCATCTGCGACTATAAGATTAATTTTACTGTGAACTTTTTATCTAAGGTGCATTTTAATATTATCCTCTCATCTGCGACTATAAGATTAATTTTACTGTGAACTTTTTATCTAAGGTACATTTTAATATTATCCTCTCATCTGCGACTATAAGATTAATTTTACTGTGAACTTTTTATCTAAGGTGCATTTTAATATTATCCTCTCATCTGCGACTATAAGATTAATTTTACTGTGAACTTTTTATCTAAGGTACATTTTAATATTATCCTCTCATCTGCGACTATAAGATTAATTTTACTGTGAACTTTTTATCTAAGGTGCATTTTAATATTATCCTCTCATCTGCGACTATAAGATTAATTTTACTGTGAACTTTTTATCTAAGGTACATTTTAATATTATCCTCTCATCTGCGACTATAAGATTAATTTTACTGTGAACTTTTTATCTAAGGTGCATTTTAATATTATCCTCTCATCTGCGACTATAAGATTAATTTTACTGTGAACTTTTTATCTAAGGTACATTTTAATATTATCCTCTCATCTGCGACTATAAGATTAATTTTACTGTGAACTTTTTATCTAAGGTGCATTTTAATATTATCCTCTCATCTGCGACTATAAGATTAATTTTACTGTGAACTTTTTATCTAAGGTACATTTTAATATTATCCTCTCATCTGCGACTATAAGATTAATTTTACTGTGAACTTTTTATCTAAGGTGCATTTTAATATTATCCTCTCATCTGCGACTATAAGATTAATTTTACTGTGAACTTTTTATCTAAGGTACATTTTAATATTATCCTCTCATCTGCGACTATAAGATTAATTTTACTGTGAACTTTTTATCTAAGGTGCATTTTAATATTATCCTCTCATCTGCGACTATAAGATTAATTTTACTGTGAACTTTTTATCTAAGGTACATTTTAATATTATCCTCTCATCTGCGACTATAAGATTAATTTTACTGTGAACTTTTTATCTAAGGTGCATTTTAATATTATCCTCTCATCTGCGACTATAAGATTAATTTTACTGTGAACTTTTTATCTAAGGTACATTTTAATATTATCCTCTCATCTGCGACTATAAGATTAATTTTACTGTGAACTTTTTATCTAAGGTGCATTTTAATATTATCCTCTCATCTGCGACTATAAGATTAATTTTACTGTGAACTTTTTATCTAAGGTACATTTTAATATTATCCTCTCATCTGCGACTATAAGATTAATTTTACTGTGAACTTTTTATCTAAGGTGCATTTTAATATTATCCTCTCATCTGCGACTATAAGATTAATTTTACTGTGAACTTTTTATCTAAGGTACATTTTAATATTATCCTCTCATCTGCGACTATAAGATTAATTTTACTGTGAACTTTTTATCTAAGGTGCATTTTAATATTATCCTCTCATCTGCGACTATAAGATTAATTTTACTGTGAACTTTTTATCTAAGGTACATTTTAATATTATCCTCTCATCTGCGACTATAAGATTAATTTTACTGTGAACTTTTTATCTAAGGTGCATTTTAATATTATCCTCT